ATTTTTGAGGGAGGATTTTCAGGACGCTATTGGAGATACCGTCACTGCCAGGGGCTTTTCGAGTTTTTAGGGAGCGGATGATGCCTCTGATTTCGAAGTGTGTGCAGTGTTCGAAATCTGGATTGTCAAGGACCTGTTGCTGCACCGTGTATGTGATCCTCACGTGTTCCTACGCTAGTTCTCCAGCGCTAAGGTTGGAGGAGCATTGATTTTGCAGCGAATCTGCAAAGATCTCTGCTTTGTCCGAATCTAGCGAGTAGAGTTTGTTCCCTTTTTGAATGGGGGGGGGGGGGGAGGGAAGGCCGTTTGTTACGGAGTTTTTTAACGACCTTCCAAGCGTTTCTTGGGTGGGACTCTGCCTTAGCTATGAATTTGTTAAACTCCTTGTTTCGAAATTCGAAGACTTGGGATTTGACTTCCCTTTCAAGGGAGTTGAGGTGAACTTTAAGTTCAGGGGTTCTCCTTTTTTGCCAGAGTTTCTGGACTTTTTTCTTCTCCTTGATTAGACGCAGGAGGTTGCGGGGGAGTTTAAGAGTATGTTGGGGAGCTGTGGTTGTTGTAGTGGCATTTTTGTGTGCATCTGTTGAGTTCGTTAGTGAATTCGTCTACTGCTATGTCGAGTTCCGTTTGGGACCTAATGGGGCAACATTTGAATGGAGAAGATTCGAGGTTATACGCAAGGTGGACCCAGTCTATACGGCTGGTGGTAACGGGTATGGTGAGAAGGGATCTAAGGATCTCTAGGTAGACTGGGTTATGGTTGCAAGGGAGGTCTGGGGATGTTGGGGGTTCCGTAGGGATGGTCAAGTTTTTCGTCAGGAGTATGTCTAAGATGTCTGGGTCTTGGTCTGGTGAGCTGGGGTAGTGAGTCGGTTCACTCGGAACCTCAATGTTGATGTTGAGGTTGCGCAAGTGTTCGAGGAGGGAACGACCCTTAGGATTATCGTGTTTCTATCCCCACGATTTGTGCTTAGCATTTAAGTCACCAGCAACTATCGTAGGGATGTTCGAGTCAAACAGCGGGATTATGCATTGGAGGAGAATAGAAGGAGATGATTCTAATGGAGGTAGATGAGGTGGTGTGTACTTCAATGCCGACTGCTTCGCAGTTGGCAGCGTCCGTACTTATGACTCGATGGTGGATGCCCTTGCGTACAAGTATAGCCACTCATTCATGGGATTTTTTGCGTCTGTCACGTATGTGTACCGTGTAGTTTGGTATGTAGAGTGTTTTTGTGTTGTCTAGGTGTGTTTCAGTGATGCATGCAATGTCGATGTCTTTTGTCTGGAGTATGTGTGTGAGTTCAGTCGTTTTGTGTGTGATGCTGTTCGCGTTTGAGTAGCGTAAAGTCTCTGTCTAGCGTGCTGCTGTTCTGTTGCCCTCGAGACTGGACACTCTTTGGTCGAAGCGAGTCAGTAGGGTCATTATTGAGTGGAGGATTGTCTCGGTGGTCGGGGGTGTATTGAGCAGAGGAGTCGGGGGAGGGGCTCCTGTTCGGTGTTGTTGAGAGGATACCACATTTGCGTATGACATCCCCGGGCGAATGATGTTCGAGCCTTGGGCTGTTGTCCGAAGGGCGGCTCTCCCAAAAGGGGGGGAGGAGGTGCAGTACTTTTCTTGGGGGCATGAGCTCCTTTTTGGGGAATTTTTGGACAACCCCGGTAGAAGGCGCGGTGCTCGCCATTGCAGTTTGCACAGCGAGGGGTGACTTGGTCCTTGTCCTTTTTTGGACACGTTTCGGTGGCGTGGTTTAAGCTGCAGAAACCACAAACAAAGGCTGCACGGCAGTAGGCCGCCGTGTGACTGAATTTTTGGCAGCGACGGCACTGGGGAATGTCGTTTGACTTGCGCTTCTGTTCTACTCTGACAGAAGTGCCCCCGAGAGACCTGATGTTGTCGATGTCGTAACTCTGCTCGTGACGTCTGCCAGTGAATGACTGACTTGGTTTAAAAGTGGCCGGCTTTACGTAGTCTTTTAGTTGACGAATAATGTTTCCGGAAATGGTAGTAAAAATGTATTTGTTGGCACGGTAGTTTAAATTTAGGTGGCCCTTAAAAGAACCGATGAGATTGAAGGTTAAGTAATGAATGTAAATACTTTTATTGGCCCTGTGGTATGGTGGAAGGTCAGTGGTGAAATTTCTAGTTATTCCTTATTATTATTCTTGATAATGGAGAGCCAGCTGTTGGTAGCTTGGCTCTTACCCTCGAAGTCTGTGTACGGAGACCGTACATGAGGGAGATATGCCGCTGACCAAAATATATCTCGTCTTCAGGTCGTTCCCCGGATAACCAACCGCTCATCGTTAGTCGGAAAAGTGGGTCTGGAGAATATCTTCTCTGTAGGTATGCCGTTGGGACGACCACTAAGAAGTTGGCAGTTGTGGCTGCCCGTACTCTTCAGAGCTGTCTTTCTTGGCTTACATTTGTAGTAAAAAAATTCTCTGACGATACCAGGCCAGATTGAGGTACGGCCACATAACTCTGAAATGTTGGAGTAGGATGTGCTCTGGCTAGATACGTCTCTTGGTATTTCGCCGGAGACGTCATCGGTTAGAACAAATTTTTTTTGGTGGCACTGGTCAATCCTAGAGGTTCAGGGTGAAAGTAAATCTAGATCACTTGCCCATTGGAGAAGAGCGTCATTGGTAACCGGGATACCCGGCTGCGCGACCATCATCTACATTCTCGATGCAGCTCGATAAACTGCCAGTAGGCAATTGCAGAAATTCTTGCGGCGCTCCGACGTATTATAATCACACTTATTTAATTATGTTGCAGGTAGCTTTGATTTTATGTCGACGCCACCTAGCGGATCCTACTGAACTAAAGTGAGGAGGTGGCGTATTTTTGCAAAACTTTGAGCTTATTTATTGCTATTGTTATTAAATTTTTCAAGATAAAAAACACACTAAAACCATCTAAGGAAGTGTCAATAATTGGTATGCAAAATTTCAGCAAAATCGATTCAGTAGTTTTCGCGGTTAGCGATTACAACTAATTTAGCGACTTTGCCTTATATATTAAGTAAGAAGTGAGATAAGATATATAGCAAAAAAAATTATCTTAAGGGATTAAAGCTTTTAAATCAATCATATAGTGAGTGTTTAATTCATCATTTATATAGCACTCATATATTGACGCCAAATCATGATGAAAATTTACACAAATTCTAAAAAAAATAAAAAAATAAATGTGTTTTATCGTTTTTTTGTTGAAAAGTTAGAATTTTTAAACAATTTTTATGATTTACAACGAAAATTGCTTAAAAAGAACAATAATCCGAAAAAATTAAATATATATGTACAAAAAAAATGATTTGTTTTATGTAAATAAATGGGTTCTAATTACATTTATTATATATGATTTTCTATTTTTTCTGAGCTAATAAAATAAAGTACCTACAGTTATAATAGCAGAAATCATGAACATTGAGTTGTTTAAGAGTCTGATCTATCATTTGAGTCAACTTACTTAACTTGATTTTCTTACATCTAAAGATGTATTATCCGATGCAACGCATACTTACGCTTTGTATGAAAAAATTGGTTTTGAACTACTTTTCATTTATTTATTGTATAATCAAGTAAAAACACTGTCTTAAAAAAAACGTTTACTTAATTAGAGATAGTTAACAAATTGCATAGGTAAAAATACATGCGCAATCTGTACGTTTGCGAAAACGAAGCAATTTGTTTGGCGTATTATAAGTGTAGTTACCGTAGTAAGCACGTCCTACTTCATTATTGTAAAAGTGCAAAATGTGCCCTCTTTTTTAGTTAATTTAAATAAACAAGTGTAAGCTAAATTTGAGAACAACTTACGCTAACCTTACTACAATTTATGTATACTCATCATATCAAAGCTTCTCGCTCTCGCTGCATTCATACATACATACGATTACATATTTTTATAATAAACATTTTATTTTCACACAGTAAAATCCAAGTATGTCAAAGTACATGTTCAAAGCGTGTAATGGAAGTTTCCGTTTTTATAAAATACTTTATGGTAGTAGGTGATAAATGTTTTGAGAAAAACTAAATCAGTACTTCGTAAACTGTTTCATCTATTCTACACAACGAAACTTTTTTTTTCTTGAATGATTGACATAAAAAAAATGTAGAGAGTAATACATAGCTGTCATGGATTTGATACACTTGTAAACATGTTAAATCTGTACCAGCCAAGTTTATCCACTCCACAGCTTTCCTACGTTAATTTTTCCTATTTAAATGTATTCAGTTTAATGGAAATGGAGAACCACTTGGTGGATCATAGATTTAATTGTTCTTCAAATTTTTATCCACGCCACCAGTATGTATTTTCTAAAAAACAAAAAAACAAAATTTTCAATGACACACTAGTATAAACGTGTTATTTTAACAAGCTTCTATGTACAGTGATAGGGAGGTAAAGTGAGGATCTAAGAACGAAACAGAAAAATAAAAAACCAAAAAAAATGACTCAATACAATAAATTCTCCCTGAGAAAGTAAAACCTCGCTTGAGTAGAGTAAAGCATCAAATTTTCATCATTCAGCTACAAAAAGACTCGCACGCGTGGAAAACCGAAAAATATAGAGACAAACTGAGGTGAACGAGCACAGGTACAAAATGTCAGGCACAGTGTAAGACAAAAAGACACACGTATCAACGTACACATACACACAGGGACAGCTGCTATCGATTGCCTCGCGGGGCTGAACGGGCAGAGCCGCACCAACATTTCCTACACTACCCCGTGTACCTATACATATCTACATTCACACATCCATCCCTCGATATTACACGTATCCAGACTAGGAGGGAATATTATGCGCGAGCGCAGCTTTGTGGGGTAGTGCATTGGCGTACCATGAGCGCGACTGCCATCAGAGCCGGCTCAAGCTCCGGCGTAGACAATACGCGGGACAACCACTCGTCCCGTTAAAGCTTTTTTAGTTGTTAAGATTGCTCATATTGTTTTATTAATATTTTTTTTGTTCTAAAAATAATAAATAAACTTACTCAATCTCACGATTATTTAGTTAAAAAAAAAAAAACAAACATTTTGTTTTTTTTCCTCAATTTTGTTAGACGGTTTTCACTCTTGCAGTCGTCGGCCACGAGCTTTTGTGCACTGGCTGGATGCTGCTCTGCTAAAGAAGCTGTAGCTACTATTGCTGATTTGTGGGAGACATGTGCCTTTTTTGAGTATGTAACATTTATTGATTTTTCGTACTTAGTTGTTTTGTTTGGAGATTATCTGGTGGGAGAGGGCATTTTAACATTGGCAGTTGCTCGATAAAAAGTATTACCACAAAAATCACTATAATTTTACAAAGAAACAAGTACTTTTATTACTTCAGAAAATGCAACAATCGTTTTTAGGTACGTAATGAAATTTTCATCGTGTGCAAGTATATCCTAAGACCTTTCTTGCAGTTACGGTTATTTTTATTTTAATGATTAACTCAGCACAAGTAGAGGCTCAATGAGCTTTTATGACCTCGCATTTTCTACATTTTCTCATTATGTACTTACGGTTCATTTTGCTGTTTTTTTCACTCCGTTAATTATTATAGAAATTTTACCTACTTCGGTTCACGGTCGTAAAAATGTAATATTAAGACGCACGATCAGTAAATAATATTAATAATACTAGATGTGTATCGTAATTTTGAGATCTGGTTAAACCTACAACTTTTGAAACGTGCAAAAAATAATTATTAAAAATAGTTATGGTTTTGTAGTAGAATAAGTTTGAATAACAGTGAATGTAATGTATTCTACATTTTTTTGAATAGTAAAAAAAAGTTTTTTTCGCTTTCAACGAGTAGGCCATCAAAAAATCATACTCGTAAGTGTATCGCATATGCAATCGTTTTGCAAATAAAGCTACGTTGAAAAATTAAATAATAATAATTAGGATATTGTACTGAAAAATGTAACTATTCGTCAGAAAACTTTTAAAAAATAACCTCTATTGTGAAAAGTTATATTGATATTATTATGTTAACACAAGAAATCCTCTAAGTTTGTGATTCTATTGTCTTTTGTTAGGTCAACTTTTTATGTTTAAAAATCTTCAGTTGCATTAATAAAATTTTTAAATTAGTTTCAAAAAGAAACCTTTGGATAACACAATTTTAAATAGTTAATAAAAAAATTTTCCAGTAAAATAGCCACCTCTAGAGTATATTTTAAAATAAAGCTTGTTTAAAAAAAAAAGCTGAGCTACAATAAGATATAAGTATGTAGTTAATCAATAGTTTCTGTGTATCTAATAAATAAAAATTTATCATCTATGATATGTAAACATTATTAATTCGAGTTGTCTGACTTTCGCAAAATATATTGACACACGATGTTGATCCGAGTGACGAATGAAATACTATGTTTTTACCTTTATTGATTGTAGCTATCTTAACTTTCTTCATGAGCATTGACGAAAAATAAATATTGCCTTTGGGAAAAAATATTTCATAACTATATAGCTTAAGTTTTTTTGCTTCTTTATAATTTATTATTATTCGTTAGAAAAGGTGAAAATGAGTACACACAAAATGAAAATCATCATATGATTTTTAGTTATTACTGAAATTGGATTATCATTGATTTGTATTATATTAAAATAATGCACAGAAAATATTGATATGAATTTATTTTATTTTTTGTCATTATTCTACTTATAAAAAATGTGTTAAAGTCGCATTGATAAAAAAAATTTTATTTAATGAACTGAGAGAAAATTTTATATTCAATCTAAAAAAGTTCCATCCGTGACTTGGACACTTACGGTTAGGGAATTATTAACTTTATGTGAAATGCAAAAATTAATTATGCACTCAGTGTGATAGAATAATAAAATTAACTTGTACTTCTCGATCATTTAACGTTACATGTAACTGTACACCTATAAGTACAATCAATTGAAAAATTTTTAATTCGGAAAAAGAAGTGTCTCAAGAGGATTGTCATAAAGTTTTAACTGATTGTTTTGAGCTTAATTATCTTGGACATGTTCGATTTGCATACCATTTTCTAAGAAATTAACTATGTTTGAGGTGAAATGTATTTTTAACAACCAGTTTACCATGACCTTCCAATAAAAGCCCATTAAGACTGAAAGCCCATTTGACTTTTCTAAAATCGTAAAATTCTTGTTATGTTATTTGTCGTGGTAACATGAATGTACCATAATTCTTAGAATTTCTTATTTAAGTAACGAAATATCATGATAAATCCGTTGAAGGTAATTTTTACCGTAATAAAAAAAATTACGTTAGACAATCCAAGCTCTTGATACATCAATCGAAAATTTTAGTGACAATTTTTAAAATAAGCATGAAAACCTCATTAAACTGTGATACAATGTGATACATTTAGCAGTAAAAATTTCTATGAAAATGAATAATGAAAATAAAATATAAGATTTGAGTGTACTCATTCGAGCCCTAAAAACTAACTTGCACGTAACTAAATATAGATTCCAGCTGTGTTATTTGAGGGTCTGCGAAAAATTTCGTTGGGCATAGATATCGGGAAATTAAATGGAAGTATTGAGGTGCAATTATTTCCGAATCATAGCAGATTTTTGTCCTACCTTTGGAAGTATTCCCACACTCTAAGGTTGCAGTCGTTTTATGAATCTATCGATTTATGCTCCACTTTCGTGAATAGTTCAAACTCCTTCTTTTTTTTTTTTGCACTGACCTCTTTTTTAGCAGAGGCTTGGAACTGAAGTACTAATTCAAAAAACTGCACTAATTTAATTTGATCAATTCTTGTTTAGTTTTATATTTTTTCGTATACTTTAGTTCAGTATACTATATTTTTAGTGAGCTTGACTTAGAAAAAAATTTTTTTTACTCTAAATCATAAGTTGGTATCAACTCTACATGCATCTCGTACAGAGACATTTTCCTGAGGTAAAAAAATTTAATTTTGTATCTGTAGAAATAACTTTTTTTGGAGATTTTGCTAATTTAGTCAGAGTAAACGGAGCACAAAATAGACAGTTTTGAAAAACCACAGACTTTTTTAATCCAGAAAACAATATATCATTTATATGAGTATATACTATGTAGATAATCAAACGAGTCACTCATAAGAATTCTCTATTGGCTTTTCTTTTTCAGCAAAACTATCATAAACAATTAATCTTAAGTAGGACTAAAAAGATTTTGTCCCCAATCACACTAGCATCCTAATCAACAATTTAATTTTCGTTTCGTGTACGATTCTAGCGATACACATGCTGTTGTGGATAAAATTACAAAAAAATAACATCTGTATCCATACAATATCCATAAAATTGATAACATATTAATAAATGTAAAATCAATACTTAAACAAATTTTTGTAATCCACATCAGCATGTAGATGCGTTTATCAGTTTGACTGTAAAATAATTTCAACCCGTAACCCTATTTTCCTGTTTAAAAGTAAAATGAAATTCGTCGTGATACATCAATAAACTTTGCCAATTCAAAGTTCTTGAAAAAAAAAACTTCTAATTATTTAAATACTGCTCAATAATCTTTTTCAAGCAATCGTGAGTGAGAAAAAGTTTCAATATTGAATGCCGAGCAGTTTGCGAAAGTAACGAGTCTCGAGGGTGTTTATAATTTGAACTTGTAGAGGCCGGTGCGTATAGCAGTGTCAGAAATGCCGACCTCTACAATAGGTAGTAGAAAACACGCGGGGCCATAGGTGATGCTATGGAAAAGGTGAAAACGAAGGAAAAACGAAGAATAGCGAAGAAACAATCGATAAGTTTAACGCGCGTGTGTAGCCAGTGGCGAGACCTCGATGACGTGCTGCCCGACAACCACGATTGCACACACACCCTCAAAGCCACGTGTGTCATGAAAAAATATGGAAATGTATATAGATACTAGCCTCCGCTCTTTTTTATTATTTAAGTACTTAGCCGCGGTCGAGCTGGGAAAAATACAGAAAACAGATTATGCCGCGTGGACGTCAGAATGGCCGATGAAGCTGTGAGTGCGTTAATCGCTTGGTCATTCCGTGCCGGTCTGCTAGGGGATTTCCCTGGTTCTTTCTAATAACTTATAATTTTCATTTTTTTACGAGACGGTAGCTCTTTTGAGTCAAAAGCGTGACTATCGCATGTACTTTTATTTCTTTGCTTGGATTCTCACAATCATATTATCCTTGAATATTTCACTCGATAAATTAAAGTAATCGCATGAAATTTAGATCATAATACTTAATCGTTAAAAAAGTTTCTACAATTGGTTCTGTGGGATTAATGTCACGGTATGTCTTCAGTTTATAACTTCAATATTTTGTGGTTAAACTGTACATTTTGAATCGTTACTCTATTCGAAATTTCATAAGTTTTTGTGGTCATTTATTTTGTTTTTCAAGTAAAGATATGATAATTTTCGGGAAGAATGTCGAAAAAATACTGCTCTTCATAAAAACTCATTACATTGTGATAACTGCAATTTTCACGAAGCTTATTTCACTCTTATTTTTGTGAATCTTCTCTGAAACGAGGAGCAGTAAAGTGTAAGTCAATAAGCGATCCCTCAAAATTTCATTTGATTCTGCTCACGATCATTTCAAGGCCTTGGTCAAAGAAAGCGCCAACTCAAAACTGCTAACTCAGATTCGGGTTATCGATGGTGCTAAAGGTGCGGAGGAATTTTTTTTCTAAAATTTAAACGCAGTACTTTTTGTTTCATTTTATTTCTAACCATCTCGTCAATCAAAAAAGCAAACGAAAGACTGCAGAATAAGTAGTTACTTGTGTATTATATTACGTTAAACTTGATTTCAACATGTTTTGGTAATTTTTTGCCTTGAATATCTGCTCATACAGATCATTGAGTCCTTAGTTTATCCCTACGATTAATAAGATGATTAAAAGTCTGTCTTATTTTTCCCATGTGAAATAAAACACTCACTACTGATGCTACAAGTTTTTAGAAACCACTTTAATTTTGGGGATGAATGAAAAATTCAACCATTGAATAAAAATGACAAAAAAAAATCTATTAGTCATTTAATTAATTCAAGTAAATATGTTACATAAACTTAAAAGAGATACAACACGTTGTTAAAACAATGATTTGTCGCTATAATGTTTTGATGATGACTCGAGAAAAGTACATCCCAACTGGTATATTTAGAATAATGTTCTAGGCGCCGAGAAAGTCCAATTAAAATTTAGTAGAGCGGATGAAAACACTTTTGCATACTCATCCTGGTTTTTATAAAACGCCTTTCTACTTTTGTGGTTGCTATCGAGCTTGAATTAAAAAATTAATGTGAACGTAAATTAAAATTAGAACTCAAAATATTTTAATTTTCAATTAATTCCGCCGAAAGTAAGCTCTGCGTGGATGGTAAAGGCACTAGCACGCTTTGAATAAACCAGCAAACTGTTGCGCGCTCCAAACCGTTTTAGAGTTGACATTTTAATTGAAAGCAAAAAGTTGGACGTACCACTTGTTAGTAGCATGGGTAATCTGATTTGATGGGAATAACTGTGTTTTTTGAAATACATATATACACAAACTTTGTAACTGTTAACGCACAAAGTTAGCAATTTATTAATGATTTTTACGTTGCCCATCTACAGATGTATAAAAAAATTAAGTCCCAGAACTATTATTTCACCAATTTCTCAGCGTACTTATAAACCAGTCCATGAAAAAAGACTACGCGTTGCACGCCTACCAGCACCTCCTTTTTTTCAGTGAAATTATTATTATTAATTTACACGAGGACGTCCAAGCCAAAGCTTACCGGTTCGGAGAAGCAAATTAAGAATAAGCTTAGGCCTTCTTTAAGTTGTAACATATGGTTTTTGCGAGAAACAAATTTTTTTTTTCTTAATAACTTTCTCAAATAATTTCAATCGTCGACCTTTTTAATTCGTAACATAAAACACCCAACGAAATACATCAAATAACTTTGTTTCAATGATTTCATCATCGCAATGTTATTTACGTCTCTTAACTAATAGCACATATCATGTATCCACCCTGCAACAATAATTTGTTTCGGTAGTCTATTTTTTCCATTGGAAAAAAAAAAACAATAGTTCACGGCTACATAGACACAGAGTATCGTGACAATCCACTGTTTTGCGGAGCTTATTGATTCCTCGCAACATGACACTCGCTGCTGACTCTGTATTTAAGTATACCTGTACCGCGCATTTAAAAGTAACTCGGCCCGTGCAATTGAATGTTTAGGCACCCATTACATTCAACCAGACATAGTCGATAGAGCACGTCGATAAAATTATAGTCGGCGTGCATCAACCTTTCATGAAGATGTTACCAGCAGCCACACATGTGTGAATATTGTGCAACCGATGTCGAGTATATACATACCTATGAACCTATATCTATTGTCAATAGCTTAATACTCGCGCAGGCACATTTACCACTCACGAAAATGCGTTTATATTAACGCTCACGTGTACCTATGAAACAAAGTTGTTTTTTTTTATCGATCGATGAACCAACAGAACGTAGTTTTTGTGTCTCAGAACAAATGAACTTCCAACTCGGGACAATGACCAAGGCTATTAAGTTGGGTGTTTTCCGTCCATAGTTTTTTTCATTGAGGTCTCGACGAGATTTGGTAGCGAAGGATCTCTCCATTAGCATCGAGTTCCTAAGCTCAGCGTTAACAGGCTCTTTCGCCTCTATCCACCAGAAAAACGTTTCCCCCTTCCCTTTAGTTGGAAATCCTTCGTGTAAATATTTGATGACAATATACCCCCCCAATGCGCGTTCTCACACAGTCATTCCCCTTTTTTTTTACTCTTTGCATGCCCCTTTTTTTTCTATCCGCTTTTGTACTCGAGCGTATTGCTATTGACACCTGCAGTATTTCAAAAGTGTTAGATGTATACTTTTTGTTACAAAATAGTAGTGCGATTACAGAAATTGAAGAACTTCTTTGTGACATTTTTGAAAATTTTTATTAATTTAACAATGTTTATACATGATAGTATTTAAGGCGCATAAGTGTTTACAAGTTGAGTCGATAATTTAATTAAGCATACTACAACAAAAATGTAATTTCATCGTAATTAATGTAAGGTAAAATATAGATATTTACTTAATATAATTAAAGTATTGTATTTCGATTAAAATAGTCATTTACGAAATAATAATTATAGAATTAATTAATGATAGAGACATTTTTTGAGTATATCCGTCCTTAAAGTTGAGCTTTACAATATTATTACTGAAATTGTAGTAACTTCATTTAAGCCTATATTTTCAGCACATTATAGTGGAGTTTGGGGACACCACATCATTAGTCCAAAATGTACACAATAATGACTCAAAGTTAACTATAATATTTTACTGGTCTGATTACTTAATCAATGATTAGAAAAAAACATAAGTGCTAACTAAAAGACCTACGTAATTGAAAGCTTATTGCTGTATTTTGTATTTTACAATTACGTAATATATATTTGATTACATGTGTACACAAACAGTCATAGATATTTTTTCATTTATTTTTGCAGAAATCCTGAAAGCGAACAACCAAACAGAACCAGCTATGAGCATGTACGCGGCAGACGTGCAAATTCTGCAGAGCCTCACCACCCACACTAGTGACGTCAATGCGGTGGACTTTGCCGGCGACAATATTCTTGTAACCGGATCCAGGTTAGTATAGCCGCACTAGCTCTTTCGCTTTGGCGGGCACATGTACTTACCACTTAAAAGCTCGTGAGGCTGAAATCTCTGTCGTGTTGGGGTGCACCATGATATTATTAAGTATACTTGTTAGACGTGGGATTAGGTGAAACGTGTGTAGTAAAGTCGATTATTAATTTTCGCAGATCCGTAATTTAGTGATTATTTGTATCAACGTATTGAATTGCTTAACTTGAGCATATGAGATTTAAATTGTTTAATAAATAAAATTTTTACGTTGGAATATAGGCTTTAAGAAAAATGATATGAATCTTCTTCAGTATAAATATTGTTATTATAATAATTTTACAGTAACTTTCAATGTGTAATTAATGATGTTTTTAAATATTACACAACAAGGGCTGTACATACCATAAAATCATTGCTACTCCCCTTTACGAACTACATCCGAAGTCAATTAAAATTTTTTAAATCATCAAACTTTTTTATAAATAAATGTGAGTTTTAATCTAACCAAGTGGTATTTGAAACTATTAAACTGTTTTGGATTAAACATTTGAATAAACGTTTGAAATGCATTCGTAAACAGAAGAGTAAATTTGGCTTTTGTGCTGAAAAGTGTGTTTACTCTAGTTAGATAGGCAACTTCTCTTGACTTTGCGGAAAAATCATGCGTTTATTTAAGAGGGTTCTTATTGTTAGCTTTTTTTATTGCTATTTTGATAAATAATAATACCGTCGTTTAAAATAATTATTTATCCGCTGCGTATATGATACTATTTTGGCATGCCAAAATCATATCTCAAATTTTTAAAAGACGATTTTTGACTTAAAATGATTTTGGAGTCAATATTGAAGTCATATTAAATAAAGTCGGAACGAAACAAAAAATTTACTTGATCAATAATTTTTGATACAATTCTCATTGTAATCATTATAAAATAATTTAAAAATCATTAACATTTTCGATTGATATGTAACTGAATTGTTTGTGTAAAACACATATTTATTCTTTTTTTACACTCAATATTATACGATGCCTTGAACATCCTTATTGTACAAACATAAAGAAAAAAATTTATTACGTATCGAAGGGTTCATTCAACTACCACCGAAAAATTACAATTTTTTATGACCGTTTCTTGTCACTTTAAATACAATATTTATTTCCAATAAAAATAAATTAAAAGCTATTTCGAAAAGCCATTTATTATGTGTATGATGAGCTCATCATGACAAAACGTTATTTACGTTACGTGACCTTTGCTTTTAGAAAAATTGTATTTACCTTTTATATGCACAGTAAAACTAGAAGTGGATTCTGTGTTTAGTCTTCGTCGCTGTAATGTATCGATTTTTTTTATAATACTTGAATCAAACCATTTGAAAGTGATAAAATCTAAGGTCATAATTATTTTATTGATTTGCATGTGAATTTGTTTTCAAAAATCAATTATTGCCAAAAAAAGAGTACTTTTATTTTATTGTTCATAATTTTAACTAAAATAGATTTTTTATAATTTTAATTATTTAAGAATAATGGCACAAAATAGACTCTATTTAAACACATAATGTTATCAGAATGTTATTGTTGTAATTTTAATTTATTGTTTCTTTCACATTGAATAAAAAAACTGATTTTTTAACGAAAAAAAAAGAATCTTTTGATGTTCTATATTAAATACAATTGCACATAATACACTACCTCACAAATGTGTAGAGTAGGTATATTGGTGCTGAAACACGATTCTGTGTGTGTGACGCATTTTTTTGGCTCACGTTTAGTAAGGATCAAAATTTTTTGTTAAGTGTATAAGTTTAAATTTTACTGGCTCTGCTTTAATCATGGTACTCATACAGTGCACAAGAAATGGTTCATATATAATAACAATAGAAGCATATTATTTTATAAATGTAGATACAAAATAATTTTAAAGTTTTAAACAAAAAAAATTTTCAAATACGGAGCATAATTTTTAGTATGTATTAACATTAATATTTAAAGAAAACTTAAAAATTAATATATTAAGGTTAATAAAATATTAATTATGCACTATCCTTAGCTGTTATCGTCTACTTTTCGAAAATTATTATTTTGAAGCTTAGAAAATTTTATAAATATGCGAAAAACTTTCCGAAACTTGAATTTAATAATTTTACACTTTCGTAATTTCTTATATGAGTTTTCTACTAAAACGCGATTTTTTTTTAATTGAACTTTTTCGAGTAGTTATTAAGATTTTCTTCTACGCTGTTCAAAGACTCTAACAGATTTCATAACGTAGCTTTCTCAGCACTTGATTTTGGGTGGTAACTTTTTTCACCTAAAATATTTTTTGTACAATATTTTTACAGTATTTAATGCAATGAATGAACTAACTGACGCAACAAAAGTTTGTCACTAGAAAAAAAAAAAAAAAAAAAAACGTGCTATAGTTATCGTGCCATGTGGGTTCGAACATAATAGTTAAAGCAAAACTATTTCAAAATTCTCGCAGTGATAAAAAGGTGAGGGTTTGGGAATGGCAGCTGGGCTCGGGATTCACCGAGGCCCCTTTCTCGCCGCTTCTAGGCCACAAGTACGGGGTCACATGTGTCAAAGTTAGTCCCCAATCGACAATGCTGGCGTCCGCTAGCATTGACGGAACCACACAGCTGTGGAATTTGAGGGTAAGTACTTGCTGGATTAATTCCATTCGAAAATCTTCCAAGCGATTTTTTTAAATTTTAAACATAAAATTTTTTCGAATGATTAAATCAATTGTTTACGAGTTCATTGAGAAATAGTAATAAACGTAGTTTTTTCTTAACGTATTTTTGTAGAACTGTAAATTATTCAAGTTCCAAATCGTTGTGTAGTTAGATTAATTTTTTTTTTTATTAATTAAGTATTAATGCTTTCTCGCACACTTACTTTTCACTGTTGAAGTTAATAATAAATCGCATTGCAAGTTCCTTCGAAAAGCGTTTTAATAATTATGCATGAAATTTTGTTATTCAAATAATTATGATTGATGATAATAATTTTTTAAATATTACCTGTCACTTGAAACTGATAGTTTTATTCAAAAATACGATATCTGCGTCAATTTACTTGAACAGACTGGCTCGAAAATTCATACAATGGTGCAAGCAGCAGGTGAAGCTGTGAGGATCTGCAAATTCTCACCAGACTCGTCCCTATTAGTAACTGCCGGGGATAACGGACAAGTTTGCCTCTGGGATTTGGTTCGTCGAACCTTAATTAGGTCATTGAAATACAAAATACGTACAAAGCACAATGTGCTATTAAAATATGGAAAATTCGATATTGCTCTTATAGTTGAAAAAAAAAAAAAATAATAATAATAATTTCGTTGCATGTGTCAAAAATTTCGAACAGGAAATAGTTTATGAATTTCTGTCGTTTAAATTTACTGTGATTTATTCAAATTTCTCGTATTGGATAACTGCAATCATAGATTTACAAGATCACTTTTAATATGAATACAAACTGAAGAAATTTTTTTCAATTCGCGAGAATAACTATTTTCGTCTTTTCAAATGTATAAGATTTGAAAAAAAAGAAAAAGACAGAAAAAAGTATGATCAATATTGTTGCTGGTGCTGCAGGTCGTTTCAAAAACACGAGGGCGCGATCCAGTCCTTGGCCATCACACCCGACTCCAACTGGTTGCTGACCTCGTGCACCCTGGGTGTGCTTCAGCTTTTTTACTGCAACGAAATCATCGAGTCCTGTCCGTCTCGCGAATCCGACCTCAATGTGTTCGCCCAAATCGATGACGCCCACGACCTCGGCGTTGTCTGCTGTGACTTCTCCAACGTTCAGGAGATCACTAGTGAGTTGTTTATTATTATTTTCTTTTTTTTTGTGTTCGCAATAAATTAATTCGAAACAAATTTCATTTACGAATGCTAAATAATTTATATTACGTACGCTGCGGTAAGTTTTACTGAGATTGAAGTTAAAACAGTATGATAAATTCGATAGAATTTCTTAGTAAGGTTGGCTAATTTTTTTCCGTGTGTGAATTAAGAATTCAAAGGAAAATATTGTCCCTAGTGTTTGAAAATAAAAATTGCAGCAGTAATTTTTTTTTAAACGAAAATGGTATGCTTTGCTTACATGAAACCGTAAATTAATGCACGGGCACGTGAGGACAGAAAAAAAATGATCGATATTAAATTGAGATCGATGTTTTAACGCAAACAAATGCCCAAAGATAACGAGCCGTTCGCGAAGCTATATCAACTGGTGACTTGTGGCAACGATAATCGGGTGAAGCTCTGGGAGGTGAAGGTCACCCAGGACAAGTGCGACACCCAGCCGATGTCGGCGACAATCGAGCTTTGCCGGATAATGGAGAAACACAGCAGTGCCTTAACATGTGTTCGATTCAGCAACAACGGATTATACACTGCCAGTAGCGGTCTCGACAAAACTGTCGTCATTTGGGAGACGGTATATATATATATATATATATATACATTTTTACATGTGTTGTGTGCTACATTTAATTCAAACAACTTATTTAAAATACTCACATAAATGATAGAAAGTGGACGTAGCTTTAGTAATGGGTGGATCGATTTCGTTTATGCACAATTAAAAAAAAAAGGTCATGCTCTTTTAAATGCAGAGTAGGACAAGTTTATAAAAGTATTATAAGATCCATATATATACGTGTAGTATTAAAAAGTGATCAATACTTTTTTACATTTTTAATTCAAAGGTCTTTTGTACATTTCAAGCACGATAATTTTCCTACATGCTCATTGCTAGGTGGAAAGTATGAGAAATATAAGTTTCACTTATCTAATTGATTATGATACTAATGTAACGTACCGTTCAGTCGAGTCATTAATTTAGTTTAAAATGTTCTAGGGTAGAAAATAATTATGTCTCAAAATACTAACACAATTTTCAAAATTTTCGAAGAAAATAATTATTTCATAAAATTGTTTTATAGTTAACCAAATGATATTTCAAATTTTACTAATTATACCAGAAAACTTTGGGATGGAAAGCTTACTTACTCTTAATTTACTGTGCTGCATTTTTTTTTCTAATATATTGTCTAATAAATATATTTAGTCTCATCGTTTTTCTATAGTAATGTTTTCCAGATATATTTTACTCGTAGAACATCAAAGTGCCGTTCAATTGATGGATTGATATTAGCTTATCGTTTAAGAAAACAATAACAACAACAACACAAGTAGTAACAATAAAAATAATTACAATAATCGCATTACACGTATGCTTACACGTTCTAGAGCACCGGAAGAGTCGTATCGGTTCTCACTGGGCACAATCGATACGTAGCTTGCTGTGCTTTTTCGAAAAATGGAAATTTTTTAGCAACAGGTGAATCTCGATATACATACAGTTCATGCATAAAATTTTATTCTGATAGTTGATCAAGACTGTAAGATGTATACGCTGGTCAAAATTCATCTAAATGTCTTGTCTATAGGTTCGAATGACAAAAAGGTAATAGTTTGGGATTTAACTGGAAACTTGAGTCTGGATTCCGAACTCGTTCGACACAGTTGTGTAAAATTACAGAACAGCGAAACATTAGGAAAGGTAAGCTATCGTCTTTAATACTATTATTACTAAAAATGTTATGACTAACTATTTTTATAAATAATGTGGTAAAATAAGCGTTATTAAAGAAAAATACAGAACTCATTATTTGTACATTGTGACTTAGTAAATAGAACGATTGATTTTTCCAGCTATTGAAATCAGCCGTGAATAAAAGATCAAATTTGCATTTTATAAAAGAAATATACGAACCACTACTAATAATTGAATAATAACGAGCATTCGTATAGTCATTTTTATAATGATAAAAAAATTTCTTCATTTAAATCGAAAATAGTGGTGTATGGAATTATGATTGGATTAACTTTGAAAATAATTATTTTCATATTTTTTTCAAATAAAACATTCGTACACCCGAGTAAAAATAGTAAGAAATAAATTATAAAAACTAAATTTTATTAATATAATTGTGTCTTTTTTACTATGTTTTTATGATAAATATTACAATTATTTTTGTTAATACTATTGCAATTATTAGTTAAAGTAACCTAAGAGGAGAAGACATCATGATAAAAATGAAAAAAGTCAGTCCTTATCGATAAAAATGGTACACGTGACTTATGCCTGATGATTAAATGAACAAAACGATCTGCTTACTTGTTCAGTGAACTATGCTCATCGCAATTGTTTGTTCATAGGAGTTTATTCATGAATCTGATGTGGTCAAGCACGCAGAAACGGGTGGCAACGAAGTCACGCTCATCCAGCGACTGGACGACCACAATGGGGCTGTCAACTCTGTGGCAATGTTTGGCAATCGCTTGATTGCCTCTGGCTCTGGGTGAGTGCGTCTGTGCACATATATATACTAGTGGGGCTGACGCCCCCCTGCGCGCAACGCGCGCCAACCCCCTACTAACAGATTGAGTAGAGAAAAATAACAACATTACTCGTGTAATTATCTATGCAGGCTGAAAATGAATTTACAACCTTAATTTACACAATTAACCGAATGGGGATGAAACCTATGCACATTCATCGGCACCTATGGTGTTGATCATGTGAAACCTTGGAGAAGCCAGTAATTTTAATTTGCTTCAATTCTTACACTTTCATGTGTTTTCACGTATTTCATGTATTTCCATTTCAAAGCTAATAATTTTCTTACGTCTAAAAACGACGTGGATTGCATGCTACTGACTTTCCTTCGAGTTTCTAAGTTATTCCACTGACTAGGGCGCACACCATTTTCGATCCTTATTTCTGATGAACTTTGCATTTAACGGCTCTGCATTGCCGTGTTACCCTGCATATACATGATATCGGTTAAACAGCGGATACATAAACAGTATAAAAATATCAAGGGTCTCAATTTTCAATACTCATTTGTTTACCAAATCTATATCACCTAAAAATTTTTGTATGATATTTTTATTAACCTCTTATCCTCCCTAATCCTAAAAACGTGGTATGACTTGAGTACTAAATTACATATGTTTTTTAACATTTCAGATGGTAAAATATTCTATAAATAAGTGTTTATTGGGGGGGAGGTGGAGGGGGAGCGAGAGAGAGCTGAGGAGGAGCGGGGGGAAGCTTACTTAAGTATAATTTGATCAAAAATTACATAAAAACAAGCAAATAACTACGTAAATCGAGGGGGAGCGGGGGAAGCGGAGGGGGCTGAATCTTACTTTTGTCAATACAACTATACAATATAGGGAGATCTATACATATATCGCCTATTGCAGTAACACAATCATCTCTAAGTGCCAATNGTGTGTTAGTATACATTTTGATATCATCTTACAAAATAACACTACCGTTCAATAAAATCAGCATTGCTACGACTTTCAATATATTTTTCAACTTTAATTATAAAAAAAATTCTGCACACTTAGGAAAAAATTGCAACAATTTTGTTACCAGAATCAACGTTTAATACCAACTTTTAGAAAAAATAAATAAGCATGATAAATTATACATATCTATAGACTCCTTTCACTTGACTCTTTAGATTTTGATGTTTCTGACAGTATTGTATTCTTAAGAACATGACTTCTGTTGAACTAAGTAGAGTTTGTACATACATGGACTGAATTATAGGCGCAATGGGTGTCCATGATGCGTGTTATCTTAGCACCCACATGATTTTAATCATGCATGGAGAGGCTGTCAGCAAGACAGCGAAATATTGATAGATGTAAATAAATTATGAATGAATAGTCATGCTCCAAACTACCAAATTTGCATTTGAATATTGAGCATGATAAGCATTTTAGACGTCACGATTTAAGAACTACTATGCAGTTGAATTAAAATTAGACACAAAATATTTACCTTCATATTGGATCTGTTTGATTTTATTTAGCGTTCATAAGGTTCTATAAATTAATATACCGAATGCATTTTTCACTATATAATACATAGATCAATCACCTGAAATAGTGAAATCCAGGTATTTATTTCAAATGTGTGAACCCTGTTTTTCCTACTGAGGGCATCACCAACCCTCAAAAACGCTCAAGGTAGGAAATAGTACGTTTCGTCCCTCTGGCGCAAAGTTGTACCTTCCGCTACAAATAATGTCGTTCTCACCTCGGGCACAAACATATATAATCTTCGGTCGCCCAAATTGTACTTTCTGCCCTATAGGTAAGAAATATACTATTCTAACAGTATATGATCCATTCCCATTAGAAATGAAACACGTGTATCATTTGCGATAAGTCATAAGAAGATCGTGTAATCTATGAATTTACGGCGTTTTTATATTTATGACAAACTGTGATTTGATGTGAAACGAAAAAATATATAATATATGTATAGTCAAGCTATGAATATTTAGATGACGCGTTTCTAATTGTCATGAAAAAAGGTTCCAGGAACCCCGCAAACGAAATTGTTGTTCGTCGAATATTAACGTGTATGCTCAAGTTTTCAAGAGTGAATGTTGACGAACCAATCTTGATCATTACAAATGATTTATGAAAAAAGAAAATCTAAGAACATCCACGTTAGCCCTAACACTTTATACGACAAACAAATCTCCCGATGGTTACATGGAACCGTGTGCATATATTGACAGTGATAAGCTCGTGCGGATCTGGAACGTCAAGTACGACGAGGAGGGCGAGTCGACGTCCGTGTTCCAAGAGATGAGCTACAATCCACTCGATGGCCACAAGTACAGCGTCAACTACGTCGAGTTTAGTCCTTGTGGGACTAAAGTTGCGTCCTGTTCGATGGACGGCAACACTGTCATCTGGGACGTTGAGGTGAGTGTGCATGTATTGTGATTACGTGTCTGTCACTCGTGTTTTTTTGAACTTTTTTTAGTATTTTATCATCTATTTTTTGTTGAAGTGGAGGGAATATTTTGATGTGTATTTTTTTTATCTTTTTATGATCAATCGATTTTATTCAAAAGCTCTAAATTTTTTTTCATGTTTGCAAGGATGTAGACTGTTTAGGTGGTTGGTCAGGCACCGACAAAATCTCTCCAAAAAATGAGTTATTGCACTTGAGGAATTACGAGTTGATTTATAATTTTATCCACATATTTTAGATAAATCTAAAATCGAGTAGGTAAATCATATCGAATTTAGTAGGTAATTTAGTCTTCACCATACAAAGCATTGATTGCAATTGGAGGAGTTTTGTTAAGGACGTTCATCACAGTTAGCGGGATTGATACTAGTAGAGAGCGGTGAGGGGGAAAAGAACATGACATGTGGCAGCACCGACAACTTATTTGCATGGACGAGTATATCTATACACATGTACGTGAACCTGCTTTTTTTATTTCATTGCAAAAATAACTTGTCGATCCCCCTGGGAATTGAATATAATATTAGTTTTATGATATTGCGTCATGCAAAAAAATATTGAACTAATTCTACAGATCATTTTCCAATCAATTCCATTTTCATGGGACTCCTCCGTAAGGTTACGTGTTAAACTGAAGTTTTTTTAAACATTTAATATCCAAAAAACGGTGTTGTAAACCTATCTCAAATTTTACATGTGACTTTCTAACACCATTACCAATATCCTGTTGAAATTTCAGGAAGATCTTACAAAAAACGCTATGTGTGATGAACTTTCTTAAAAGGAAGCAAATACCCAGTCTTTTTACCATTATGACGTCGATTATTGGGTTATTGGGGTAAGGAGAAAGAAAAATCGATGTTTTCTTCGTAATTAAGCAATTAGATGTTTTACACAAGCATGTTCTGAAAAAGAACTATAGTTCTCAATAGAATACCTGCAAACTTCTTTTTACTACATTTTTTCGAGGAAGTGAATGTAAAGCATTAAATGGACAAAATTATTGAAAATATTTGAAAAATCATTATTATGTCTACAATATTACGAAACTATATTTTACGACAAAGTAACAAAAATTAAAGTTGTAAACCTCAAAAAAATACATGTTCTTAGTGTAGTACGTTTCATTCTACAATATAATATTTGTACTATAAAAGTCTACGAAAATCACGACAAAAACGTTTTTTGTTTATTTTTAAAGTAATCACCGACGTACTTTTTATGTTGTATATTTTTTCTTTAATGCTTTCTTCACACTTTAAACAAACACAATCGTTTTTCAATTTGTTTAAAAGCATTTAACTTTTTCATGTGACATTTTAGAACAAAATATTAAAGAAATGAGTAATTAAAAAATTATACAGCTTTCTTGCATTCATTATTTTCCTCCATAATGACATACGTACACTCTAAATGACAAAAATCGACTTAAATTAACAAAAATATCATTTTTCAGTATAAAAAATTTTAGCTAATGTTTTGGGCAAAATATTTAAATAAAAATTAAAAAAATAAATAAATACCAACTTTTAGA